TCTTTTTTTTTTTTTTTACCTTTCTTATCTTCTGCCTTTTCCTCCCGAGGTGGTGTTTTTTCAGATACAGAGCCATTACCTTCTTCAGATTTTACTATATTTTCCTCTCGGGTAGCTTCCTCTCCGATGGGTATCATGTGCCCGTTTGAATTTTCAAAGTTAACTGTTACATCTCCATCTAAAATGGGAAAGAAACACCTAGATGTCTAACTTGATGGCTTTTTAAAAATCAGTTTCCTAGAAACCAGGGTTATGGGATTTGGGTTCATGTTTCTTTTTGTGGGAACCAAATGTACCCCGCAGTGTTTTACCATATTTTCCTACATAATTTGTTAAAAAACAAAAGAGCAGGAAGTCCACAGTTTTGGAGGAATGTGGATATAGAGGGAATGTCCACATGCCATTCTAAGACAGGAGAGATGATTATCCTAATTATATAATATTCCAGGGCAGCAGAGTCTCTCTGCTTTGTACTTAGGTTTTGTTGAAGTCAACACTTACGTGTTTGTCTTTCAGAAACTAAGTGATAAAAAGAATAATCTGGAAAATGAAATAGACATTTTAACACTACCACAAACACAAGGTGAATGCAAATACACGAAGAACATGAAATGTAAATTACACATATAATTAGTGGGAGAATATGGAAATTCTCAAGCACCACTGTCTTCAGAGTGTAGTCCATGTGTGAAATATTAGTTCACACAGAATAAAATTGCTACTCCATAGTCAGGGAAAAGATGGTAACAAAGCTAATTTTATTTTCATTTTCTTATTTAAGGAAAGATTTTAAATGTACTCAGGTACTTAGTATATAACTGATTAAAAATTCCTTAAGTTGGCCTAATATTTCAAAAACATTGAGGGAAAAACATGAAAAAATAATTACAGAGGAAGTTTTAAAAATCACAGATAAGGGGCCAGAGGGTGGCATGGTGGTTAAGTCTGTGGACTCCCACATAGTCAACCACGGTTTGAGTCCCAGAACCAGCGAATTGTTTTCTCACTTTTCCTCTCTCTTCCTCTCTCTGTATCTCTCTGGTGAGTGCATGTGCCCTGTAAAAAATTTTTAAAAAATGATGATAAATAAAGTTAAATAAATTATTTAAAAAAAATCACATCTAAAAATAAAATTTCCAATATCTATTACAATTCATAAAGACCAATTTTTACCCCTGGCTTTTCATAACTCCTGTGGGGAGAGGTTTCTAACATGAAAGTGACTTTGCCAAAACTTTTAATTCACTGACGCTTGAAAAATTAACTCTAGGGGCTAACAGGTGACATGGTTGTTAAAGACGATAGACTCCCACATGGCTTACCACAGTTCAAGTCCCGGACCTGGTGACTTGCTTTCTTACTCCCCACCCCTTTTTCTCTCTGTGCCTCTCTGGTCAAATTAAAATAAATAAATAAATAAATAAAGTTAAATAAAAATAATACTTTAAAAAAAGGTGAACTCTAGTTCATATGTGGAAAAATTAAGATGCTTTGCTACTACTATAGAAGAAAAAATAATGAGTTGAAGTTCTGACTTAGCAAGCTTACAGAAATGTATGTGGAGCTTTTTACATGCATTTTTTGATAATTTTATTTTCACAATTATTATCAAACAATTTTTCAAATTTTCAGCAAATATATTGAAATCTTAGATTCAGCCATAAGACCCATTACCCTTCTTAACAAAAACAGGCATGACATTTTAATAAATAAAATACATGTCATGGAATTATGTCATATTCAAAACAAGAAACTAATTGTTGCTTAGTTATATAACTTCCAAGAAGCTATAATCTGATTCATACATTAAACTAAAGTAGACAATAATTACTGCAAGTAAATCTTAATTACTATAATAAAATTAAGGTAAGAATTTTTAAAGGCGCATATGTCAACCCAAAAAGAACCCAAAAGATCTGTGTGTATATGTGTGTGTTGTTGTAGACAGGGTCTCACTGTGTCATGAGCCTCCTGCCTTGGCCTCCCGAGTAGCTGGGATTATAGGCAAGTATCACTGTACTGGTGTTTCAGGGTGGGCCGGGAATCAAACCTGGACTTCCCCTATGGCCTCAGCCTGCCAGGCAGCTCCATCCAGTGTATGCTTGGACCTCAAAAGATTTTAATTCCTATTATTAGGTCTATTATTAGGTCCTGAGCAATGAGCCATTAAAAAGGAGAAAGGGTCACCAATATAAGTGAAAATAACCAGATAAAGTGAAAATAACTTAGGAATTAAAAACTCCAAAAAAGAGAAAACCACTTGTTCATATAAAAATACTCAGTTTTTAACTCAAACATAAATTTATCTTAGTTTTTCATTTTTACTTTAGCTAGTAGTAAAATATACTGAAGACCCTTTAATGACAACTCAACTCTACTTTAAGCATTATTACAGTATAAGTCTTTAGTGGATTAAATCATTGATTTTTAAAATTTTGAACAGAAAAACTAGAAGGAAAATCAAATAGTTGTGGCATAGAAGAAACTGAATCATCAAGTGATGGAAACAAATTGTCAATGATGCAGAAAGGTACTTACTTTGGGGCATGAAATAAAGCAAGAAAAACTGTAGAAAAAAGAGACATGTTTTGATAAATATGGAATTCAAGAGTAAAACAGAGGAGAACTGAAGTTCTTTATTCATGGGTATGTGTATTGAAGAGGTTTTCTAGTATTGCGTGTTGAGAAAGTTGTTTTAGGATTAAAATAGGTAAGTCCTGGTTACAGTGTATGTATATAAGTAAAATACAAGCCCAGCAAAGAAATGCAATTGAAGATGCAGAGCGAGGCAGCAGGTTAAAATAGGAGGCCCATCCAATGAGTCTTCCAGAACAATTTGTAGGCAAAAGAAAAGAGAAAACTCTGAAAATATTTGTAAGCTGAAAGTCAAATGAAAGCTCAAGCACAAATAGAAATAAGTGGTTAAATGAAAAGCAGGAGAGAGTTTGGCAGGGTTTATTTATTTCTGGTAAACAAGTGAATGGGAAATACAGTCAAAGGAGGAATAGATGTAAAGCGAAAATCATGCACAGTAAAGGCAGAAGGCAAGTCATTTAGGAGGTTAAAAGTAAACCACAGGAGAAAAGGAAAGGAGGATGGCAGATAGGCAAAACCACCTAAAAACTCTCATGTTAACATGAAGGGAAAGATGGAAGGAAAGGACTAGGGATAAGGACCAACTTTGCCTAGTCCAAGGTCTACTTGACCATGGACTTCTCAGGAGAGATGACCGGTGGCTGAACTTTTAGACTGAAGGTATATCTGGTTTTAAAAAGATAGCTAAAAGGAATAATAATAATAATAGCAAGGAGATATAATACGAGCAGCATGGGATGGGGATCGACCCAAAGTATTAATGTATGGAGAGAATTAAGAAGTCTCGCTGGTCCCCTGGGGGGGAAAAAAAAAGGCCTAAGTGACAAGCACTGTCTAGAGTGCAAGGTCAGGGAGGTCAAGGCCAAGACTGAAAATCTTCCCTGGCAGAAGAGAGGAGGCTGTCACCAAGAACAGCAGCTTCTATCTCTCGGGACAAAATCCTCAAGTTAATTCTTTTTGGGAAAATGACAAAAAAAAAAAACAAAAACAAAAACCTGTTTTCTCCAGACCTTAGCTAAACAGGAGGAAAGACTCTATTTAAAGTAAGCATTCATGGGAACTGCTAAACATTCAGTCATTTCTGTGGTTCTATGTAGGGACTGTATAAAAGGTGGGAGGTAAAAGTCTTCCCAAACACTAAACTATGACAGGTTAAAAACTGAGTTATGCCTTCCTAGTTTAAGGCTATTAATGTTTATCTGCAAAAGTTAAATGAAAAGATCAAACAGGGTCATGTTTCTAGGGAAAAAAAGCATGTTGGCCCCCAATTTGTAATCTAAGATGCAAATAGTTTGATTGATTAGACAGAATAAAAACTAAGTTGTACTAAGCATTTTTTTAATTGCCTATTGCGACTTGTTTTTTGAAAAAGTAAACTTTTTTTTAGACCTATAATTTAATTAATTAATTAATTAAGCTATAGGGTACATGTGCTTGCTACAGAGAGATGCGGTGGGGATAGGTGGTGAGAACTCAGGGAGGATGGCCATGCCACAATCCCTTTTCCTCCACTCTCTTCTCGAGATTTTGGGCATGCATGCACCCGCACCTGGTGTGTTTTTAAACTATGTGATCTGGGACTTGAACCATGCAACTGACCAAATAGGATCCAGCTGCCTAACTACCGCACCACTTGGCTGGTCCTCTACCTATGTTTTTTAGTTAGAAAAAAGAGGGTTTCCCACCTCTATCTTTAAGCCCACTAACTGTCTAATTGTATATTTTCCATTTAAAAATATTTTAAAATAAAGAATAGGAAATAAATGCACCAGCCCACTCCATACATCTGACAGCTCAGCATGTACTTTCAGTGACTACTTAATATCTCTGCTGAGCCCAGAGAGACTGGACAGGAGATTAATTTCGGTTCTGCAAGCTTAACTCAAAACTTAAAAAGTTAAGAATGTGCTTTGTTTTATTTTTAAAAACCCCAGATAGGAATTAAATAGCTTCCAGGTAATAGAAAATGAGGGCAGACATAAAGTTCATACAAAAAGTAGCGGAAAATTTGCTAGGTCAGAAACTGACGTAAAATGCACAAATCTGTGAGAGTGCAAGAAAGATGGTCTTATTCACTCCAGGTTTCCCTATTTTCGTTGAAGCAGGAAAAAAACAACAAGGCTTCTCCCAGCTCCATTTTGGAATTAGTTAGACGTTGGAAAAAGGATATCATTTCTATTTATACTAGTGAATATAAAAAAAGTTAAGTTCTTTGCAAGCAACGTATCATGAAAAAAAAATACTATTATTTCAATTCCAAATTAATAGCATTTTATTTTTTTCCTATAGTAATACTTTACTCCAGTAAATGTTTGGGTGGGGGGAGGCATGAACACTGTTGTGATGTCATGTTTTAACTTTTTTCTTTTTTAAGGATTGCCTATTTTGTTTAATACTTGCATTGTTTCTATTGTCCTTAACTTTCAATAGTAGTGGGAATGAAGAAAAACATTCTGTATCATTTATTTGGAAAAATAGCCAGTGTTGGTGTCTTCTTCTGAGAGGCAATCAACTAATGGTTTTTTTAAATCTAATCTCTGTCTTTTCTGAGCAAGATTATTCCTTGGGAGGATAGAGAGAAAAGGGGGAAGACTAGAAGTAGGGGAGAAATGCTTGTCAGTAAATAATCATTGTTAGTGAAAAGGAGAGGCAACTAAGATTCAGATAAATGAAAATAGCATACTGGAGAAGTTACTTGGGAGAATGCATAAAGCAGGTTAAGTGAATTGGTCCCATGCCTTATGTGTACATTCAAGTGTATCATATGGTATAAAGGGCAAGAGGCATGTTTGCTATCTCTTTTCTGTTTTCTTTTACTGATAGTCTTAAGAAACAAGTAAGACAAGAAACAAGCAAAAGCTTTGCATTTACGCAGACAATTGAGTTTAACTTGAATAGAAAGACTGAAGCTCAAGAACAGAGAAGAGAAAGAGTCATGTAAGCATCAGTACCTTATCTGTATCTCTAGCCACAGGTGTACCTTTGTAGAATTTGGGGTTTCGAGTGACACTGGTGAAGGATTCACCAGGAAAGTTATTGGGTTTCTTTTCTAAAATATGTCAGATGCGCTGCAGCCTACAAAGCCATGCCGCATTAAAGCCCCATTCTTGAAGTGTGGTGCTCACTGCTTTATCTCGCAAAGACTGTGATCATTTTAAATTGCAAAAGAAAAATGAAAGAAAGATCAAAGAACGAAGGATCAACTTATTTTAAATGTATGATTAATTTCCTCACCTTGATCAGGCAATTCTTTAAGAACTCCCCTTCTTATCAGCTCCTCTCTACTTTGTCTTGTGGATATCTTCCTTTCTAATACTTTTGAAAAGAATAAGCACAAGTGAGAATCAATGCATTGCTTAAAATAATTATGAAAAACATACCAAGTAGAATCGAGCACATCCATTCTTTGTACACGAGGGCTCAACCCCCGCTGTTAGCAAAACATGAGACTGGAGTAGAATCAACACAGCTAGGAAAGGGGCTGAGGACACCAGCCTCTGCCTCTGGTCTTTCAAATGCTAATCTTTGGCCAAGAGTTCAGACATATGGTTCCATACCAACTACAGAGCACAAATGCCACTTCTCACCTTGAAATGGTCCTTTCTTGAATAATGATGCATTCCAAATCAAATACTTCTATGGCTATGCAGAATATGTAGAGGACATGTATGCTTAAGTTTAAAACCAATCACCCACACGCTTTACTTCAATTTTCTTTCATATAATTTTTGTACATTCACTCACTATATGGCATTGCAAAATGGATTTTCCCAGCATCAATACACTGCATATTAGTCCACTTAGCAATATTATCATACATGTTATCATCAAACATTTTGTAAAATATTCAGATAACTCATCTGAATCTCAGAGAGACTATTTATCAAGTGTTTTGTTGCATGCGCCTATTACAAAAATCCAACACATCGTATTTTTGAAACTTTTCCCTGACAGTCACATTTTCTAGAGGGTTCCGGTATATCACCTGATAAATCCTAAGTCATAGGAGGATGGAGAAGGGAGTTAAGAACAGCCAGCAGGCCCAGCAGATGGCATAATGGTGATGTTGCTAGACTCCCAAGTAGTCAACCGCAGTTCAAGTCCCAGATCTGGTGGCTTAAACTCATGCCAGGTGTGTGTGTGTGTGTGTGTGTGTGTGTGTGTATGTGCCCAAAATCCTAAGAGGAGAAGAGATTGTGGCATGGCCATGTCCCCTGAGGGGGTAATTTCTCCCTTTCTATCTCTCTCTCTGTAGAGCACACACATCCTATAGCAAAAAATCTCTCTTAAAAACAAACAAACAAACAAACAAACAAACAAACAAACAAACAAACAAACAAACAAACAAACAAACAAACAAACAAACAAACAAACAAACAAACAAACAAACAAACAAACAAACAAACAAACAAACAAACAAACAAACAAACAAACAAACAAACAAACAAACAAACAAACAAACAAACAAACAAACAAACAAACAAACAAACAAACAAACAAACAAACAAACAAACAAACAAACAAACAAACAAACAAACAAACAAACAAACAAACAAACAAACAAACAAACAAACAAACAAACAAACAAACAGGCAGCTTTCACAGGTCTGTACAGGGATATGAATATCCACACTGATCCTTCTCCCTTCAAGAAAAGAATCTGAAGTCCTGGTACAACCTCAGAACGGAGTGCAGCAGCTCAGTAGTATTCACCTTGTATACGTACGATGTGGTTCCTGAACACTACGTGTCTTTGTAACCACCAGCACCATAACCCCCTTTCAGGAGCCAATAACTTTAATACGCGGTCACATCACCTAATGATTTTTTTTTTTAGAGGTTTTTGCTATAGGGCACGTGCGCTCGCCAGGTAGACAGAGAGAGACATAGAGACAGAAAGCGAGAAATCACCCCCCAGAGGGGATGGTCACGCCACAATCCCTTCTTCTCCATTCTCCTCTCAGGATCTTGGGCACGCACGCACACACGCCGGCGTGAGTTTTAAGCCACCAGGTCCGGGACGCGAACCGCGGTCGGCTACGTGGGAGTCCAGCAACATAGCCATTACGCTAACTGCTGGTTCCCTCACCTAATGATGTCAGCATTTGAGTCAGCATTTCCGGGAGTGCATTCTTCAGAGCTCTAGTCCCCTCAAGGACCTGTTCAAAGGACCTTGACACAACAGAGAAGGGTCTGATAAAGGGTCTGGGACACTTTCAGGAGAAGAAACGGTGCCCTTTTTGGAGCCTGAGTAGCCACAGTAGGACCAGATTTCTAACTGTCCTTAAGATTCCTACCCCTGACCTCACAATCTACAAATCCTGCAGCACTGGGTGACATAAGGGCAACTAAACGGGAGCCAAACCAAGCCCATCACTCCAACACACTCCCTGACACACACAAAGGGAGCTTGTGACAACACTGAGAACATGTTTTCTCAGTGCTCCAGGTGGCCTGAAGCAAGGACCGGGAAGGTGCACTGGGGAAAGGAGGGTGTGCCGTGGGCCACAAGCTTAGTCTTAAGCACATGAAAGTCTTCAGTAAGTGTTTGCTACTGACAGGAGCCTGAGAATAACAACACTTAGTCTCAATACTGAATTTCCCCCCTTTTTTTAAATATTTCGGAATTCTTTATTCCATTTTTATCCTAGTTGCTAGAAAAGTCAGAGTAAAACTTGACATTTAACATAGATTTTATATGACAATTCATGGATGAAATCTGCTTCCTCCTTCTCCACAACCTGACTTCACTTGGTTTTTTATTTTTTTGTACAGTATTTATCCTCTTTGTTTGACAAACATGTTCTGGGGAGAGAATCACAATATAACCAAACAAGAAAATGAATGAATAAATTATTTAAACAATGGCAATGAATATCTGATGCATTTAAATGAAGAAATATACAGGCCCTTCCCTTCCTCTAAACATACACAGAAGCAAGTAACAACAGCTCTCTTAAAGGCTGGTGATTTCAGATTAGCTGGTAGCGTGGTGACTAAGGTGGCTGGATCCCACATGTCTGACTATGGCTATGGGGAACTGAACCCGGTAGCCTGGGGAACAGGTGTGTGTGCGCGGGTGTGTGCGCCCAGTGGCTTGAGGGGAGAAATGGAGAAGGGACTGTGGCTTGGCCGTCCCCTTTGGGGGCTGGTTTCCACTCTTTCTGTCTGTCTGTCTGTCTGTCTGTCTCTGGAGGGCACACATGCCCTAGAGCAAATTTAAAAATTAAAAAAAAATTAAAAATTAAAAATTTTAAAAATATAAAAAAATCAGTGATTTCAATGGATAAAGTTAACCTTGCATGGGAGTGAGGAGTGCTTTAGTGGAGTTCTTTTACGTGAAAGAGTGCTGTTATTCAAGTACATTGTCAATTTGTCAGACTCTTGTCAGAGAGGAGAGAACCCTTATCAGCACAGGAAGCCAAACAACACCCACAATGACAGGTGGAACACTGCCCAGATTCTACAGGTGGTTTAGGAGGACCCTGATCGCCTGCTGCCTCCCCAGGTTGGACAAACCCATTCCCACTTGACTGGACTTAGGGGGTGGCAAGACTCCATAGACTTCTTGCGAGAGCTGTCTTGGCCCCCACTCCTGGGGATGAGCCCACAGGTTTGTGGTTTAACCTAAGTGTGAGGGTGGAGGTGGCAAAGTACCATGGGTCCCAGGGTTCTGCCTACATCCTGGCAAAGCAAACATAATACCAACTCAGAACACACCCACTATGGTTGCCTTCATCTTCAGCTGCCCTTTGCTCACATGAAACAGAACATTTAATTGTTTGCTGCTTCTGGAAAGTTGCCTAAAAACAGAAAATGATGTCAAGAATTCTGGATTCTAGTCCCCAAACTCCTACAAGCTAGATGACCTTGAGCAGTCACTTCCAGTTCCTGGGCCTCTCTAATCCATTATCTGTAAAATAAGGGACAAGATTCCATGATCACGAAGAACAACTCGTCCAGCTCAAATGGAGTGCAACCCTGTATCTCTGGTCAAGGCTGTTCTGTAATCTGTTTGGGGCACCTTTAAAAACTTTCATTCTTGCACTAACAAACCACCTGAGAACCTGGAACATACCCCATTTTTGTTTCTGCCTTTCCATGATGGACCCCAGAAGATTCTATAGCTTTAGTTTTGAGTTTTCTGTTGCTTTGATGCTAACATAATCTTGGCTACAAATTCCTCCTCTTTCTTCCTTGTAAACTAAAAATTCCTCCTCTTTCTTCCTTGTAAACTCTGGACCTTTGAAGCAGCAGCGATGGCTTCTTGCCAGGAATCAGAACCAACAGCTTTGTTCTTCTGCTCTACCTCCTATAAACAGGCCCTGATAGAAAAATGCCATTGACTGTTTGTTTGGTCTTGGGCTGAGAGCATTTTTAACACATAATGCAGATAACTGTGTGCAGGGCCAATGGGGACAGACTACAGGCGACTGAGCATGGAAGGTATGCTGCTAGGGCACAAAATTCCAACCGCTGCTCACACAGAAGTACAAGCCTCTCATTCTTCACCTTTAAAAATATTTGCCTTGTGTTTATATAGTGTCTGTATGTTTGCAGAACACATTCACCGGACGCTTTTTCATGGGCTCCGAGGGGTTTTTCATTGGAATGAATCTGAGAGGTCATTCTAGTCCAACCTGCCTCGCAAAGCCGGAGTCCTCTCGGGAACATTCCTCAGCTGGGCTCACCTGCTTTGCACAGTTGGGGCTGGATGCTCACTGACGGTCCAGCCAATGCTGGTTATTGTTCACCCTGATTCATTTTTGTTATTGTTTTTGCTAGGGTGCGTGTGTGCTTGCCAGAGAGACAGACAGACAGACAGACAGAGGGAGAAAAGAAAGCATTCCTTATGGGGAATGGTCATGCCACAACACAATACCTTCTCCAACTCTCCCTCTGTTAGGGATTTAGTGCACATGCCCACATACGCCTGGTGTCTCTCTCAAGCTGTGGCTGGGATCCGGCATCAGGCTGCCTTAACCACCAGGCCACAGAGCCAGCCCCACCTCATTCTTAGGAAGGTATTCATCGTAAGGAGTCAAAATCACATTCCTTGTAACATTTGCACGCAAATCAAACCCAAACTCCCTGTGGCTCTAGACTAGCCTAAGTCTGAGCAGGAAACAGCTTCAGCCAGCTCCACATATTCACTGAGAGCAAAGCGGGTTTATCTGAGTGCAGGTAACCACCTGTTGCTCTTTGACTCTGAAGTGCACACCAATCTGTGTAACCACATTAATAACATGGGGGGGGCTCTCTGCAGCTGTGCCCTAAACAATACGTTGCCAGGGAAGAGGCTAGTGGGGTGCAGA